TTAAATCAGAACTGCCTCTGAAAATAAGAATATAATGCGAGTGATTATTACAACATTAAGAGGACTCTGTTACTCACTCTTCTTCTTTGAAGGTATCGAAGCAGGCGTCACACACCCGCACCGGGAACTCGAAGCCCATGATTGGGAACGTGGTGCTTTTAGAACTACATTTCCCACACACAGCCTTGCCGCACTTCCTGCAGTGGTGCTGCACAAAAAGGAAACACACCCATAGATAGATAGATAGATAGATAGATAGATAGATAGATAGATAGATATACACACACACTTATAGATAGATAGATAGATAGACATACACACACACTTATAGATAGATAGATAGACATACACACACACTTATAGATAGATAGATAGACATACACACACACTTATAGATAGATAGATAGATAGATCATTAGTATGACTGATGGGTTTTAAGAGAATCCTGGTCCGACTCCCCTACCTGTCTGAGCCCCAGGGTCTTAGTGTCCCACATCTGCTTGATGTTCCAGAAGAACGGCTGCTCGCACTTCTGACACGAGTCGCTGTCTAACCACTGAGGCGCCTGCAGACGCACACACACACACACACACACGCAGTCGAAGGCTGCTGTTAAACACGACTAAATTCAACTGTTCAAGTAGAAAAGAGCTGCAAAAATCATCTTTGAACTGAGACAGACGTGGAGAAACAACTAAGACTTCTCAGACTGAACATCGTGCTGACTGAGCAGAGAGCTGTACAATTAAAAGTGAAGAAATAAAAGTATTAGTGTAGAGTAAAGAGAAGCTGTCTGTAAAACAAGTCAATTCAATGTAAGACAATGAATTATTTGAAATTTTACACAAACATCTATGAAAGAAACTGAAACTATAAAGTAGTAAAATGAAAAGATACAATATCTACCTAATTTAATCAGTAGACCTCGAATACTTGTATTTACCAACGTCTGACCTGACTGCATCATCACACGCTTACGGAACAGAGGAAAAGTGAGAAAATAAAAGTCTGATCTGAGTTGTTTTCTCTCCTGTGATTATTTATATATTTTTCTTTCCTTACTTTTTTGTCATCTGTGAAACGGGTTGAAAAAAGTTTTGACATTTTTCATAATTTCTCTTTGCTCTCTAAACATGAGGTACATAAACTGTGTGTTACAAAGATATGCAAATTCAAACTCAACTGGAAGAAAACATGAAGGCTTTTTAGTCCCATTTAGAACATGAGGTAGTGGTGCACGTCTGCCTCTTGTGGCCGAAATGAGTATTACAACAACAAAGAGAACATAGAAAGATGAACTTTGGCAAAACCTTTTTCTTTCACAAACAGGAGAGAAAACTATTCAGATCAGACGAAAACATGTTTTTCTCTCTTGACTCTCAGGGCTTCCATACATCCTCTACAGATCTAACAGTGATGCAGACCTCTTCTCTCTGTGTGTCCATGTTCCACACCGCCATGCCTCCGTCGGCCGAGCACGACACCAACTGCCTCGTCAACTGGAGGAAACGAACGGCCTGAACGCGCTCGCTGAGGGAAATGTTGAAAAAGGGACAAAAGTAATAATAATAATAATTACTATTTATTAATAATTACACCAGCATTAGGCAATGTTTTCACAGAGCAACGACTCTGCAGCTCTACAGGGCGTTTTCATGTGTTGACTGTGTAATTCAGTCCTAGCAGCTCTTATTAAACTACACAGGTAGAACATCTCAAGCAAAAACAAGCTTTGATAAACCCACTAAAAATGACCTGCCAGCACCAAACAGCTGACAAAGTAGGAATCAGTGAAACAGAGTTAGACTTCTTACAACCAAAGTGAAACAAAACTACTTCTAAGAGATGCACAACGACCAAAGAAAAGATGCAAAAGAGACCTGTTGGACCCCACAGAGGAGGTGGAGCTACGCTACAGCGATGGACTTACTGGTGTCCCTGCAGCAGTAGCGTCCGTCCTTTGCGGCCCCCTATGTCCCACATGATGACGCTGTGGTCTGCGGCCCCCGAGAACAGCAGCCTCTGGACGGGGTCCCACCACAGGGTCGCTATGCTACCTGCAGAGGAAGAAGCACACCTGTTACTTGTGGTGCTATATGTGCTGCAGGAGCCCAATGAGGGACGGCGTTGTAGTCCGGCCCCCCCCCGGCCCCCCCGTCGGCTCCACCTGGTGCCGGCTGGGAGAACTACAGGACGCTCAGACCTTAAACCTGGAGGATCTGTTATAGCTTCATTTTCCATCAGCTGTCATAATTAACTAATATCTAAACAAATTTATTGGTGTTGGCAAAGCCGTTAATATTGATTTTTATGATTTAAGATGAAAACCAAGATGTGAATTTGGTAATGATTTACTGTAAGAACCAAAAGCTTTACATACAACCACAACAAACACCTTTAATTACAGGTGGAGGATATTTCTCAGACAAAAGCAAGTTAAAAACAGAACAAAGCGAGATTAAAGGTGCGGTCTGATCTTTCTGTTCTGGTCTTTTATTTATTTGATCATAACTTCCGTTAAATATTAAGGTGGAACTCCTGCAGTGCACAGCTTGAGGCCGGCACCATTAATATGCATTAATTATCAGTCCAATTAATATGCATCATCATGATAGAGAAGAGCGAGGGAGGACATTCAAAATGGTACGGTGTAAAGATTTGTGTTTTTTAAATATTTTTATATGAGCAATATGCCTGAGGTAAAAAAACATGTTTTGTTAAATAGTGGTGGAGATGATGAGTCATCCCTCTGCTCTCAACGAGCTCATGTGTGATAAATGCCCGAAGAGGAAACACAGGGAGGTGTTTGCTTCACACAGTGCGGCATCCTGGCCGCTCATTGTTGTTGTGGGATCCATTTCTCTCGGCTACGAATACACTAAACCCTTAAAATGCAAATGTCATCTGAGTCATGCATTCATCCGGTTCCCAAAATGACCAGACTTCCATCTAAACAGCTCAAAATGGCCACTGAAACGGCTCGATGAGCATTAACACAACAAGGCTGCCAGAACTCAAACTAGCAGATGTGGGAATCAGCTGTATGAGCAATAATATTTTCCATCATCTAAAAATAAATGATGGGGTATCTGGCAGAGAAGCGGTCTAACATCCTGCCAACAGAGCTCTACTCATTTGGAAAGTCAACGTCAGAGCCTATAAAGCTCCTTTTTTTTGTTATGCAGAATGTTTTTTAGGCCGTTTAAAAGCAGTTTGATTTCTTTGTATCTTCCTCTGGCATAATGTGGAGGAATCTGGGTCATCTATTATTTTACTGCGGCCACATCTGCATGTCTGGCTTCGGCATCAGAAGCCTGCTGGTGTGTAGAAGTACTACGAGACAAACTGTGTGTGTGAGATTCATAGTTCTGCGTCAGCGATGAATGCGATTCTTCAGGTGCGTCTTTACCTTCGTGACCCTTCAGCGTGGTGATGGTGGAGTACGTCTGCTTCTCCAGCTTCAGCAGCGTGATCTGACCAGAGTAGTCGCCGACGAAGGCGTGCTGCGTCTCGTGGTCGTATCTGAGCCGGGAGTCAGGGAGGAAACAGACATACGGCTACACACTCCTTTATACACTCATGGACGGGTTACCAGACAGGCCTGCTGGGCACAGGTCCAAGGCGCCCCAACAGGTTAAGGGGCCCCTGGGATAGAGACGTTGTCAAAGTGGCACAAAAGTACTAAAAAGAGACACAAAACAAACACAGTAACACAAAATGACCAAAACGAGATGTTAAACAAGTACAAAGAGACGCAAAACAACTACAAAGAGATTAAAAACGACCAAAATGTGAAACAAAACTACTACAGAGACATGTAAAACAACCAAAAAGAGATGCACAACAACAAAGAAAGGCAAAACTACCAGATATATGTGTCTTTAAATCTGTGGCTCTTGTTCATTTGTAGGACGGGTGGGGGAAAACAACATGTCTGTGCCCAGGAGCCCATTGTCTCATGCACACACATGCACACACACACACACAGTGAGTGACTGAAGGATACTGTAGGCAGGAGGCCCAGGCCGTGAAGTAGTGCCTCCCCAGCATGCTGCCGCTCTGGGTGCACATCCAGCTCACACTCTTGTCGTGGCCGGTGCTCACCACCCACTCACTCTCCAGAGAGAACACCATGTCTGACACGCGGTTCTGGTGGGCTGCAACACACACGCACACACACACACACACAGTGTTAAAAACAGGCACACACGTCCGTTGAACTGGGCTTTAGATCGGAACCGTCATGGATGAGCTCCACCATCTGATTTGCTCTTTTTGAGTGCTGATCCAGGAGAGGCTCCTCTTAGAGTCGCTGTAATCCAGACTAAGACGAATCCCTTCAGACCGTCTTAATGGTTCATCTGTGGATCACTGTAGTGTTTAAAGCTCTGGCTACAGATTGATTGATAATAGTCAATTTAACAGCAAAACCCTGATAATCAATGCACATAATGTGCTGATATGCTACTTACAGTGGAAACCTCTTATTGTGATGTCAAATTAATCACTATAAGCAGATAATTAAAAACGTTTTTTTCTTTAATTATTATTCAGATTATCATCTAATTGACATTTGTCTATTTATAACATGAATATGAAGTAAGGAAACAGACAAAATGCATTATTCAAAATACAATACAGCCGTTTCAAACGCGTCTTCAACCACAGCTGCATTTGTTTCCCGCCGCCATCACCAGCCGCCATCACCAGCCGCCATCACTAGCCTCCATCACCAGCCGCCATCACCAGCCTCCATCACTAGCCTCCATCACTGTTTGAGTGGACTAAACCAGGTTCCCTGAGGAACACAAAGCTTCACTGCTGCATCTCGTCGGCTCGGTAGTTTGTCATGAGCTTCGAGGAGACTTGAACTGAAGGAAAATTACTTTATTTTTCCCGTCACGATTTCAATGAGCACCAGCATCAGGTAGCCAGCCGGAGAGCAGAAGAAGAGGACACATAACATTGCTCAATTTAATGCAACAATTCAGCTATTAAACTCAATCCAAAGATCACATAGATTTAAATCTAACTTCAAAGCTACTTCAAAGAGAGAACAAAGGTTAAACTCACTGCTGCACGTGTAACAGCTAACATTACATGCCACGGGATGTAGAGACACTTATCTCAGAAGTACTACATCAGACAAGATATTACGTCTCTTAGCGATGAAAGCATCACTGATAAGTATGAGTCATTCCTTTCTTCTTCAAGTGTAAGAAAGTGAGATGAATTAGTAGAACTGAGGCTTTCTATGCTCCTTAAGATCATGAGCACTTTATATTCTATCCTGCACTACTTTTAATTAATGAGTGCACCTTATGGACATATAAGAACATATGGAACATATGGAAGCTGTTTTAAGCATTAGTCAAAGTGGCTGCTATAAAAACTAAACACAACAAAGTCAATATTGGGTCGTGTGCAGCGCTGAAAGCAACACCGACGGCTAAAAGGCTAATGGCATATTAAGCCCCGCCCTGTCTCTGAAGCGCATACACACGTCCTGTTTGATCTGGTGCCGAGTCATGTTTCTGCTGCTCCATTTAGCTGCAAGCGGTAAAAACCAGATGGAGAATTCTAATGTGGTGTTTTGTCCTCTGAAGCAACAACTGATCCTCCACCAGGCGGATAGAAGGGCTGCTGATACGGTCACGTTTGTATTAATAATACGACATGAGAGGAAACGAGTAGGGCTGCAACTCGTAATTATTTCCTTTATCAATCGATCTGCACATTATGTTGAGTCCATGAAATATATTTGTTTTAAATGCCCGTCACGACTTCCCAGAGCCTGACGTGACGTCTTCAGATGATTTGTTCCATCAAAAGTCAAAAAGATAAAGAGTTTCACTTTAAAATGCTGAAAGAGACGCAGCAAACCCGCTCATTACAGAAGACAGAACAGCAGCTTGTTATTTTCACTATTGTTGCTTTAAAAACATTAAACAATTAATTGATTATCAATCTGTCAATCGTCGAATTTATTCATCTTTTTAGACTATCACCATTTTTCCAGTCATAAGCAATAGTTAAAATACCTCGTCAATGCACACACACGTATGTAATAAATCTCTTTGATGCAGCTGGACTCCTACAGACAACTCTGCCCAATCTCAACGTGTGTGTGTGTGTGTTCACCTGGATAAGTCTTGACGTGGATCATCTTGTTGAAATCTTCAGAGATGAGAAACTCCTAGAGCGCAAACACAGAAACAAACAAAAAGTTTCAAATCAAACAACTATTCCCCCCCCCCACGGGCATTTGGTGGAGTCCAAATATTGAAATTGCAGCTTAATGAACATGCAGGTTTAAGAGTTCAAGATTAAAAAAGTATATTTAGAGACTATTTGAACAACAGAAAGAGTGAGTCCTGGAGTGAGACTGCAGCTTCACTCACCACAACAGCGCCATTGTCCTGGCCGATGAAGATGCGTCTGCTGTCATGGTGGTACGACATGCAGGAGCACGGCGCTGAAAGGAGAGAAGACATTCACCATGAGCAGGAGAGTCAACACACACCATGTTGTAGAGAGGAGAGTGTGTGTGTGTGTGTGTGTGTGTGTGTGTGTGTGTGTGTGTGTGTATGAAGGCCTACTTACAGGAGACTGTGTGGTAGATGCTGGGCCAGTACTGGCCGCTGTCTCTTTTCAGCCAGACCCGGATGGTTCTGAGGGGAAAAGGTTGAAAGTGTCACCTTCAAAGCGCTCTCATATGTCTTCTCAAAGGTCTTTCTGTAGTTTATTTCATGTTAGGGAGGTCATTTTTCATGATGAAAAAGTGCATTTTTAATGTTACTTACTGTTTGCATGGCCCTACCCTGAAGTTAGATCTATGCTTTATGTAAAAATGAGGCACTCTTCAATAGAAATAAAGAAGGGTCTTAGTCTTGGACTGGGTTTAATCCTCGTCTGGGAGACCAGCCCTCCTAATGCTCTTTGTACACAATGCTTAGTTCTGTTCCCATTACAGCACATGAAGGGGTAGAATGATTGTTAATTCATTCATGGTATAAACGGTGTGCTTGAATTATTTTGCTAGTAGTTCCTGGCCAGTCACTTTTGCAGCATTATGCAGATGCCCTTCCAGCCATGAACACAAGCTTTATTAACGTCACCGTCGATGGTTCAATATTGAACCGTTTCTGAAGCTGTACTTTTGGCCAGTACCAACTTGTAGCACTTTGTTGTATATGCAGTGTTTTTGCATTTCAGCAGAATGTTGTGTTTTTGAACCGCATTAAGTTTGCAGTTAAAATAAGCTTCTGTCAACCTTTTTTTTTTTTTTAAAGGTTTTACTTCTATTCCAGTAAAATGTCTGCAAAGACACGCAAAAAGTTAACATAATGAAAGCCACATCTGAACGTTAGACTGCTGCATCATCGCCACACAACTTCCCTATTTCATTATAAAGTGGGTTTTAGATGTGTGATGGGAACTGCATCACATTTCTTCATAAAATGAGGATGTTGTTTCTTTCACACACTTGTAATCAAACATGTCAGACCTGGTATCACTTCCAGTGACAGTGGTGGACTGATGTGAACCCTGTTACACCTTGACACAGAGCAAAGGGAAGAGGTCTGTCAGATTATGCAAAAAGAAAAATGGTACTGTACCCAGTTGTCAAAATGTGACGTTTAAGGGCATATTAAAATCATGCGAAGCTTGGATGTCAATCATTACAAAGCAACTTATAAATACAATAAATAAACAACTTGCCTTTTGTTCTTATTGTTTTCATCTAACCAAACACCGGTCAGTAATTATAGACTCTTTTAAACAAGGTCCAGCTACAAGCGTTTCATTATAAACCCTTGCGACGAATTAAATATTATAGATTACGAGTGGCACTTGAAGGCAGCAGAGAAAGTAATGTTTACTATACTAGCTAGCTTGTTAGCGCTAAGTCAACAACAACAACATTATAATACCGCTACGTGCAGGGATATTGAGTCGTAAAGCTCATTATTATAGAATAAAAAACATATATATTCCGGTTTACTATTACGGTTGCACCAAGACTTATGAGTGTCATGCCCAGTAAATAGACGGAGCCCGCTAGCTACTCCCCTTAGTTTGTCATGACCAGCAAATAGACGGAGCCCAAAGCTACTCCCGTTAGCCAGCTCGGCCAAAAAAAAAAACAACAACTCACCTGTCCTCGCTGACCGTGATCACTCCTTCTTCATTTGGTATCAGAACGGCCGCGTTGACAGCGTCCGAGTGTCCCTCGATCTTGTTCAAGAGAATCGGTCTTGCGGTCTGGGGCCTCGAGTGGATCTCCGCCGCCATGGTTTATATTAAAAGTATCCAGCAGTGGGTTTTTCTTCCTCACTCGGCAGTAAAAAAAGGAGGAGGAGGATCAGCTGATCAGGATTACCGTAATGACTGCAGGAAATGGGGGGCGTGAGCGAAGAATTCACGGTGCGTTTCAATAACCGTAAGAGACAAAATAATTCGTTATTAGTCCCGCAGCGGAGACATTTACAGGCTTACAGCAGCATATTTAATATAATATAATATAAATAAATTCAATATAGTATTATTATAAATAAGTAATAAACTGTAAAGAATATTAAATAAGTAAAAAAGTAAAAACATCCACAGTAACTAAAATATACCAGAAAAAAAGATCTAGTATGTCCCAAAATACAAAGTGTGTCAAATGAAGTATGCTCAAATAAATACCAGGATGCATTTTGCAGAATGCAAGCCAGCATGCTTTACTGGCTATTGTGACCCACAATCCTTTGTGCGGAAGACCAGGACCCGATCCCAATGCCCCCCCCCCTAAAAGCCTTAAAGCCTGAACCCTCAGGGACTTAGCTGACGCCACCTGGTTGAGTGTGAGAGGCTGCAAAGGCTTTGAAATAGTGTAAATACGAATGGGACAGCTCTGTGCTGCGAAAATAAAATGTACGACTGTGTGTATTTACTTTATATGTTTGTCTAAAATAAATATCCTCTGTTTTTATGTTTAGTGCAAACTCATGGAAAGTGTTCATAAAGGGCTCAAAATGTCTGCGTGAGAGCGATTTAAAGATTCTACAGTGGGACAGTCCTAAACCCTCATGGGTTTAGCTAGAGCACGCCTCAAAGTCCGAGTGTGGAGGTTGGGATTGGGCCCATATGAGCAAGAAGGTCCAGGAGGAAGGAGTATGTCCCAATTGAATTTATACATGCAGCTGCAGTTTGTACTAAAAGTTAAAAGAAAACATATGCAGTTTGGTACGCAGCTTAAGTTTTACCAAATGTCGCGTTAACCACAATGCAAGTGAGTCATCAAAATGTCTGTGAAAAGAAACGAAAAACAGTCCCGGGGGCGGAAAAGCCTCACATGTACTTATACAAAACATCAGCTCTCAAATGTATGAAAGAGTGATTTTGTAGAGAATCAGTGCTCAGATGTGACCATTCCTACGGTCTGCTCTAAAGGACGCAGAGTTGTTTAATGTGCTTCTACTCTTACAGCCCTACTCGTTACACTGGTCGTCCAATCCTTATTGTTCCGATGCCTCCGGATCACAAATGGATTTGGAAATTTCAGGACCAGAATTAACAATATTGAGCTCTAGAATTGGAGTTTACGGATCAAAATATCCCAGTGCCATAATCTAAAAACTGAAGTTTTAACTGTTCATTTTTTAAAGTTCCTGGCATTCTATGATTTTAATTGTGGATTTTGAACTTTCAATTGTTGATTTGTACATTTGAATTCTACGACTGTTCCAGTGGTGCAACTCAAGGTGGAGATCATTAAGATTTCAGTCCTGGTTGATGAAGAATTTGAGTGAAAAAGGAATCGTGCTTTGAGTTTAGCAGTCTGGAATCTCGGGCTGTGACCAATCAGTCGGCTCAAAACACCTTCATGTCATTTCCTTCGGCGATACTGAATATGCAAACAAGAGAATAATTGCCATTACCCCAAATAAGGCACAACCATTGAAGTTATAAATATGTGTATTTATTTGATCAAATATGAAAACAGAAGACTTCCTCAGTGAGGGACACAATCATTGTAGAGTAGCTGAATACAAGACGTTCATGATGGGATGTACAGAACAGACTGCAGACAGGGGCACAATAAATACACTGATCATACGACTCCACAGAGGTGAGCAAAATACACAATTGACATTCAAAGTCTTTAAAAAAAAAAAAAAAAAGTAATAAATTCAAAAAAGTATATAAAAAAACAAATTAAAAACAGCTGGAAAAATTTAGTCAGCAAAAACATTTTATAAAGCATGTTATGCGTTACAGAACACGTGTAACATAAAAAGCAATATTTAAAACAAATAACATCATATGTCCACGCTGTACAAAAGTCTACAGCAAAGTTTGTGTGTGTGTACACGTCTTCGTTCATGCGTGGCAGTGTAGAAGCATTTCCCATGCTGGCGTACGACGCTACCAGCAGATAAGCCAGTGATGGTTGGACTCAAGGCTGGTTGATCTGCCCCATAAAGAGGACGGTACCTGGGACAGAGAGAACTCATCAGTGTCCATTAGACAGACAGACACACACACACACACGAAATATTAGACCGTACCTGTTGGCTTATGTCTGATGAGGAAGAGGAAAGGTCGGTCCACTGTAACCCAGGGTGGAGAGGACCGAGCCAGCAAAATGGCAGCTAAACACAAAATCACGTCAGAGACAACATCATAAGTGTTGGGCTCAAAATGTTTGTCCAGAACTACAAGTCCCAGAACAAATACTCACTAGTGGCAGCTGCTGCTTTTGTTCCATCTTCATTCACCACGATTTTGGCTTTCTGCAGAGCCTTGGAGACATGAACGGGCTCAGCACCTGAGAAAACAACAGCATGTGGTACAATTTGAGGAAAGTAGAAATTGTAATTCGATAAATGATTTCCTTGGAATTAAGTGTGTGAACGGTGCTTTTTACACCTGCAGTTCATGGTTCAGATCTAGTAAAAAAAATAAATAAATAAAAAATAAATTAAAAAAAAGAAAAAAAAAAAAAAGTATTGTTGCCTTTTAGCCTGCTTCACATCCATCAGAAACAGCCCTTTTTTCCTGGAGTAATCCAATAAATTCTTTACAGATTAGACCACATGGTGGCACTAGACCCCAACCTTTAGAGCGTCTTTCACTCCATCACTTGGGCAGAGAAAGAGAACAGGAGGGACTTTGTTTTTCACACCGGGCAGCGACACACAACTCGCACTCCTTAATGGCTCTGAGCAGTAAACAGCCAACGATGCCTCGTATCCAAATAAACCTGTTATGAATACTCGAGAAGGAGCGCGTCACTTTCACTCACTGAGGTGTCTGAAGTTGGCTTTGTCCTCACTGAACATGTTAGTTATTCCCAGCGCTGAAAGGGGGGCTTCCAAATCCACCTCGGCATCAGCAGTAAACCTACAGACGTACACACACACACACACACACACACACACACACACACACACACACACACACACACACAGTTACTGTCGCATTCAGCCAAAGAAGAGCTACTGTGGTGTGCGTGCGTGTGTCTCACTCACTTGGGGATGAGCAGGCGGACTTTCCTCATGCTCATCAGTTTGGACCAGCCCTGCACCGCGGCCGTGCTGACGTGCGGGATGACACGGGAGAGGGGCGTGTCCTCCTCGGAGGGCAGAACTATCAACATGGTGATGGTGTTTCCGTGATACGGCAGCTCAATCACCTTGTACTTCAGTCCCTGAGGCGTGGAGGCGATACCTGGCGGAGGAAGAGGAGGAGTTAAGGGTTAATCGTTTTCAAAAGGTCAGGGTGATGGGGAGGAGGAAACTTGAGCCAAGCCGTGTACAGTGCCACAGTATATGTGCGATTAAAAAGAAAGAAGCGTGTATTTATGCTATAAATCCTTTTTCTGTTGAAGAACTTGTGTTTCTGTGGGTGACATCATTTTCTGTATTTAGTATAAACAAAACTAAAAATGCATCATTTCCTGATGACAGCAGATATTTATCAGCACAAAAAGGATCCCATGAACAGGTTGTTAGTTTCAGCAAAGGGGGTGGATAGCAGAACAGTGATATTAAAATAACAGACACTGCATTTACACAGGGACACAGTTTTCTACTCGCTTCCAATACATTGTTGCTTGAAGCATGACATGGCTCCTTTGACTTTTTAAACACCACATTTCCACCGAAAAACGCACTTGGCTGCCAAATCAGAATGACCGGTTTATCCGAGTTTCTCTCGGCAGAAGAAAGCACACAGAGTCACATCAGCACCGGTCTCACATCACAAACGTCCATTTGACTGTGCTCACACGGGTCTTCTTCCTTTATGTGGCCATTAAACTAAATCACGTCACATCAGGATCTGAAGTAATGAAGCCAAGTACGCGCGAGTCCCATTACATTCATAAAATATAACTGCATCAAGTCATAACCAAGTGATTTAGGGCCGTTACAGACTCTTCATGGCGTAGGTGCAGCACAGATTATGAACACTAAAGTCTACACACAGACACTGGAGAAAGATGCTAGTGTGTGTGTGTGTGTGTGTGTGTCACAGCTGAACGTGGCCTCGGTCTGACTCCAGCTCTGTATGAGAATCTATCCGCAGCACTCTGACGACTCGGCTAAATATAGACAAGTGACTAGTCGTTTCACTTCATAATATCCGACCAAGGTGGCAAGGCTAAACTCACCACGAGCTGACGAATGAGTCACAAACAGCTGGGATTGCGTCATAAAAACAAACTAAATTAAGAACAATGTAATCTTTAAATTTGCAGTATAGCAAGTTTAACAGCAGCTTCTGATTGGCCCGTTTGTTGCCAATTTCTCCAACCACGTCGAGACGGTTCAGACATGCAGCGTTTATTTAAAGACATGAACACCAACTTCATGTTGAATTAAAGACTCCCTGAGGCCTTCTGGACCAACTTTAGACAAGTTTAAATAATTGACTTTGCAAATGTAAACAATGTTTATTTGTTTCCGAGAAAACTCTTTAACTCCGCATTATTGCCTGGCACTCATTCTGTACTGTATATAAAAACACCAGTTATCCAGCATCCAAGTAACTCTGTAAAACTGAATTAACTTTACTCAATCTACGCACGAGTTAGAGGAAATAAAATGCTCTTTCAGGGGCTCCACGAACACTTAATAAAGTATGAAACACTTTTAATAAAGTATGGAATACCTTTAATAGAGGCATTAAAGAGAAAAGTGTTCGGTGAAAAGCAAAAAGTCAGAATTAACTTAATGGAGCTCTCTGTCCTGCAAGCTTTTATCTTTAAAAATACATATTTTTTTATCTTGTCTTATTTCTTTTAGATTATTATTATTATTATTATTATTGGTTATATTTTTTTAATATCACTGTTTTGACTCTTTTGTTTACATAATATGTCCCTGAATATACCACAGTATTGTATCACTTGTTAAAAATCACAATAAAAACGAACCACAAATACAGCATGTTTACAGAATAGGAAGGATTCCTTATAATTCATGGTGACAGAAGCTGAAGGCCCCTTTTATATAAATAAATTCCTCTGGATATTTATCAAATTATTGCAGTGTAATTCGTATTTGACTTATCTCAACTGGCTCTGATTCCTGACCTTCTTATCTGGGCAATAAATTCCAACTAGTCTGAATCCATACTGCAACCATCTACAGCAGAACCGTACCTTCTAATTATGCCACTAAATAAATAAATACATACATAGGCTCTATGAAAGCAAGGAGATGATATAAAAGCAAAAACACGAACACAGAGTGACACGTCTCCACTCACCGATGCTGAAGACGGACAGTTGGGACATCATGGGGACTTTGTAAACGTCTCCGTTGCCCCCGGTGAAGGGCCTCATCTTGGTGTTCTCGGGCTGGAAGCGAGACTTCCACAGCCCTTTGAAGTAGATCGCGTTGACAGCGACCAGACGGGTCAGAGACGAGTCCAGCATGTCTGCTTTGATCAGGCTGGGGATGTGACCTGGATTAAAAAAAAAAAAAGAAATCTTTCATACTCACTTCAGCACAGATGAGAAAGAAATAATGCAGCATCAGATCAGACCGCTTCACAAAGTCAAGGCTGTCTCGCGTGGTCTGTGAGGAGTTCAACAGGTTGAATATGTGTTTGATGTATGAACACGATAGAAATAGACGCAACTCAGCACCCCATCGCTTGGACCACAACCGTCAAATCTGAGTCTTTATCAACCAGTCTCAACACATTGAGCGCCAAATTCACGAAGGATGAAGCGTCTTAGTTTCAGTTCTTATGAAATGTACATACTTTAATACATAACTGTCAAGCAACAACTTTAACACAAATACATGCCCACACCTGCATCAACAAGGGGCTCTTTGACAATATTAATATGGTGTGTACAGCTGCTACGTTGACCCATGACTCCTACCTTTGGTCTTATTGCTGACCCATTCGTTGATCTCCTCCGCGGCCCCGTGGGGGTCGCTGAAGTCCAGGGCCCTGCTCGCGCACTGGAAGTTGGCTTTGTTGGCAGACACGAAGGCCTCCTCCATGGGGAAGCCGACCTGGTTGAACATGGCGTTGGCGATCAGCACGACGTCCTGGTTGGACTTGGCCGTCAAGGTCTTGTGCAGCTTCTTCAACATCCTGTACGGGCCTATTATTGCACAAGGTTTAAATGTTAAACGAAATATTTGAGGGCTCATCTGAGATCTGCAGGGACTTCAGTTCACGTAACGAGCAAATCTACCAAACTCTAGTCGGTCGGTGACTCAACTTCCAACACCCAAAAGGAGTCCTTACCGTTCTTCTTGTACCGCAGAGCGTTGAGGACTTGCTTGCGAGTCTCTCCGTGAGCTCCCGGCAGCAGCATCCCGAGGATGGAAGCCACGCCGTGGGGCGACAGCACCACGTTCTCCAGAGGCTTGGAGCGGACCACTTGCTGGAACACCTGTATGCCGAGATCAGAGCCCCGCTCGCCGTAGGACGGAGGCTGGGACAGCGCGCCATTGTGGCCGTACAAGGCCACCAGTAACCACAGGCAGAGTAACGAGAGGCGCTTCATCTTCGACTCCACAGCAGCTGAAGAACACAGAATATTAGATGTTTCGCTGCATCTGTTGATTTCTCCTCTAGTAGACACACAGATTACTGGTGGCACGTGTTGTTAAACCTCTGAGCTTCATCAGTATTTCATCTTTATGAGCATTTGAACAACTGCAGATTGAAGAAATCGTCATTCCACAATAGGCATCCCTTTCATATGACTCTTCATGGGTAACTTCAATCATCACGTGACCCTCTGCTTGTTTTTAAGGAACACGTTTACAGAGTGCTACAGGATCTGACTAACACTTCCTCAAACATTAGCTCCAAACATGACCGCCTGGGCTCTTCGTTATTTTAATTCTAGACTACAATGAAATCTTTCATGAAACCATTTTAGTAAAATGATTCAGCCTGCACCCCCACTCACTGACGCAGAATGAATGCAGCCACAGGAGACATGCCTGCAGGCGTGCTTATAAAAAAACGGACAAATGGCATCCATGGGATTTATTGTACATGTTCTTACTGGTCATCACGCCTTATTTTTTTTTCTCCACAGTGTGAGCTGTGCAAATGTTTGGGTTGGTTTATTCGTTGATAAATCTCTGAGATTGTTCCTCACAACCTCTGGGACAAGGCAGTGCAACAGGCTTCACACGCAGTTTAGTTTGAGGTCGAAGCGACACTTCACTTTCCGACTTAGTGAATAGAGATTCCTGCACGAATAATGGCAGCGTTTGGCGTTAAATGACCGTGCAATCAGCAGTGGTTGTAGATAAAACTACTGTTAATCCGTACAAATACAATTAGCATTGTGTTAGGACGAGAGACAGCTGGATAGGTTTGCAAAAAAAGCTGCAAACATTAGTTTTTGTCCAGAGACTCTGTCGTGTGTCCGTCAAACATCCAGGAATGCATTCACACAAATTCATTTTTAAAAAGCTTAGCCCTGCACCATGCTTATTAATCATGCACCTGGAGAGCCCAAAGGAAGCAGCTGGATGTGAAGCGCACTATTGCACTGAAAGTCACACAAATAACAGGGTTTCTGCAGTACTTCTCCGCACATTATCTAAACATAGCTAGTTTAAAGACCTTTCCGGTTGTTGTAGAATAGCTACACATTTCTTGAGTCTACCGTTAAGGTATAACCTTAAAAAAAAAAAACAAGAGTCCTTAACTTACCTATCTGGAGACGTTACTTTGAATGCCGCAGGTGAAACGTTAACCGTATCAGTCCGCTTTCCAAACGAGATAAAACGAAAGGTTCGTCCGCGGTGTTAACGTTAAATGGCAAAAACACTTTAATCCGGTGAACGTGAGAACTACGAATGACTCCACCGCTGATTCAGAGACGACTTTATTGGCCCCGAACTCCGCCTTCAAACAAAACAAGCGAGCGTGAAGCGGGTGTCTCTGTTTCAGTGTCAAGCGCAACGAAATAACTGATTAACAGCTTCCGGGGAGGTTTCAAAATAAAAGCCAAAAATAATTACCATATAGTTGTCCATTGACACACAAAAACAACTTCACGTCCTTTTATAACACAAAACATATTATTTTACATTCTGATATATTGTATTGCTGTACTCTACCGAGTTGCTGCTCCTAATTTCTTAAAAAGCAACAAATAAAAAGTCGAATTTCTACGTCCACGCGTTTACTTCCGGTACGTTTTACCCAACTTGATGCAGCTGACAACTTGTGCGATGTTTACAACAGGAAGTGACAATGATGGGAAATGTGTAGAAACAACATGTAAGCAGGCGTCTCCGTTATGTTTAGTCACATTCAATGGAAAATCACTGAGGACCTACGACTTCACCACGAGGCATTCACGTGCCAACACAAAATAAAGAAGCATCCACACAAGTACTGTTTTTGTTTTTAATGTTACATCTTTGCAGAACAGAACATTGATTAACAAACAATTAACACGTCTCATAGGAGAGTTTGGGCTTATTCATTTTGTATGTGATTTTATATTTACATAACCAAGTGACAATTCACAAAAGACCACCTGACGCTTTTCTGTCTGGTGAGGTGACACAGTTGGGTGGCGACACACACACACACACACACACACACACACACACACACACACACACACACACACACACACACACACCTGCAAAGAGGCTGAAGCTCAATTACACTCCTGCTGCAGCCAAAGAGGCTGAAGAGGAGGTGCATGGGGATTTGAATTACAGGGGGATTAAATGAGAGTGTATGGGCAATTATGAGTAAATCCATCGTCAATGTTTGCTTTCACAAAGACTGGACTTCTTCATAATAATATATATTTCACATGTATACTTTGTGGACTGAATGCCCAGGTGCCTCAGAGCAGGGTTTTTGGTCCACAGAGTTTGGGGGTGTGTGGTATGTGTGTTGGAGTGGGGGTCTTGCAGCTGAGATACAGACGGGACTGACTGTGAAAACAAACAGCGTTAAGCAAAGTGGGGTCACTGTGTCTGTGTTTTGGGGGTGCTTAATGAACACACAGCTGTCTAATACAACCGTGTCATGCGAGGCCACTTCTGTTCTTCTAATGCAGACTCTGCTTTTAAACCGAATCCAAGACAAAAGACGAAAACATTGCAATATGTCGTCCTGATTACAGTTTCCCAAACAGTTATACGCCATCTCTGGGTCCGGCTGGAGATCTGATCACGCTCCTGTTGAGCAGCCCATACCTGTTGAGCAGCCCAGACAGCATTGTATCTACTCTCTTATCATCAAACAAGACTAACAAGACTAAACTTGTTTGATGAGCACGACCAGATGTGTGCATGTTTGTGCGACACGTAGATCTCGTGCAAACACATGAACTCCAGAGACAATCCTGGGCGAATTCTCTGCAGAAAAGTGTTTTGTTTTTGTTTCATTGCTGCCTGTTCAAACATGATTTTCAGTGTGTTGTGGAGCCTTCAAATGCTACAGTCAACGGGAAATGATGTTGATGAACTTTGCTGTGAGAGTTTCTCAATATGAAATGTATTTGTCAAGAGTTGGCCACGCAAAGTGTCCTGTATGTGCAGATAGGTCAATAGCATGCAACAAAAGGCAGTGACGTCGCATATTGTATCAAAAAGCAAACGCTATGCTGGGAAACGTTTTAATTTCACAGACTTACACAAGTTTCTTTTTTTTCCCCAGTACTTATGAAATTGTTCTTACGAAATGAGAAATGATTGAGTGTGATGAAGTATCTCTGGATGGTGCAACTCGTTTGTCTTCAGTTAAATAGTTCAAACAGTCAGTTAATGTGAAGTTAAACCTGCCTCCAATTAATTCAACTGAGCTATCTTTCTCTGTCCAGGAGTGCACTATATTATACTGTATATATAACCTTTGTAATGTTGACTCAAAATTAAACTGAAAATGAGCGAGAAAAATCCCCGACAGTCATTTAAAAAAAGTATTATTGATTCATCTGCTCATTCATTCATTTAAAACAGCTGAACTTTGTACCATCTGACGCTTGTGTAAAATGCCTTTTCATGCAGATTCATGAACGTGGCAGTAAAAGAAGCAGTCTCACTGCAGTGTCAACGATCTGGACAGAAGTTAAAATGTGTTTGTCTTGCCGAGCCGTCCATTGGCCTGTTCGGCTGTCAGTCATTTCACTTCAGCCACCTCTGGAGAAGTAAGAAGACGTGATCCCGGGCCAGAGCCAGCTGGGGGAGATCCTGGCTCCTGGCAGGGTACATGTTGGCACAATGAGCTGTTCCTGGATCAGAGAGAACAACATACATATATATATGTATATATATATATATATATAAATATAAGAAAAGCAGTCAAACTGAGATTTTCTGAGAGCAATTATCCACCTAATAAAGTTAGAATTGAACAAGTGAGCCATTCTTCGACGCTGAAACCGTTGCTTGGCTTCTGTAACGTGAAGCAGTCACAAATGAAATCCAGTCTTCAGTTAACTCGGGTGACTCAACGCATTTTACACAAAAAAAAAAAAGATTTTAAAAGTTCCTCAAATGCTTATTATCGATAAACTGTAGTCAAAGGACTGTCTACCTACACGACACCTGCTATGATGACTACACACAAAGAAGAACAGGGACAACTGGACTGTAATCAGATGTCTTCGATGCATGATCTTGGCTGGAGTTTTCTACTTAAATCTCATTCTACTGACATCAACGTTGTAAAAATAATAAACGGACCAATTGGGAACTCTGTTTCAACAAGTAGTGAAAGGGAAAAAAGTCGCCCCCCTTGATGTGGACGTCCAGTCAGTGTTGATGGTGAATGTAGTCGATTGAATATATTATACATTGACCCATAAAGATGAGCTCGCAGCTGCAAAAATCTGTTGCTCTTCCTGCGTCCAGTGGCGTTATTTTAATGTGACAGTGACGTAGTAGATTTCTCGTGTCCGCCTCTTGGTAGCTAGTGGGTCTAGATGCTGCTCAAAAACAGAACTTCCTGTTGTCTTCTCTTCGATTCTGTTGCAAACTAGCTACATGTCCAACAGCAGATGCAGCGGAGAGAAGCCTGAGGCTGTGGAAGAGGACGTGGCCGACGGGGAACCCTCGGGGCGTCAGCAGCTCGCCCGCAATGCATCCTGGTACATGTCGGCACTGAGCGCACGTTAACTAAATCTAGCACGCACTAATGATTTGCTTCCGTCGACTACATTCACCATCAGCGCTGAGTGGACATCCACATAAAAAAGGTGGCGAAATTTACCTTTAACACAAAGAAGCTTTGACTCATAATAAACATTTTAAAATCTTATTTCTAGAAGACAGCATAACGTCACCCTGCTTTCTCACCTTTGATGAAAACAGCGGGGAGGTCGGGTGTGATGTCCTGAGTGACTCCCAATGCGTGCCACGGGTCAATGGAGCCGTTGGGCAGAACGATTCTGGTGGAGCGGATGTCGTAGCCGCCGTAATACTCGTTGGTCTGAGCCACGGCCTCCGCCAGCTGCTCAGCGCTGACGTTGTAGAAGTCTGCACACTGTTTCACGTGATACCTAGAAGAGAACAGTGAGAGCGGAGGTGAAAACGTACGTTTATTAGGCAGAGAGAGAGGCGATGTTTGGTGTACTCACACTAGAGGGAAGCCCGTGAACGGTTGGTTGGGCGAGTCGGTGCTCTGGTAGAATCCAAATTCAGTGCAGGTCTGGTAGACCCACTGTCTCCCTGAATACACACAAACACAAGTGACCCGTTAGCCAGCAGAATCAGTTGGTTTGTATAAACCAATGCACTAACTAGCACAGAGCAGGTGAAGATGACTATTTGTTTGTATTCACTTTTTTCGTTATTCAGCCCAAATGAAGAGAGGAAAGAGTGCAACTGAAACCCACAAGACAGGGGGCGGGGGGGGGGGGGGTTGCTAAAAATAGCATTGTCATGCTTAGAGTAGTCTACTCAAGGCTAAATAAACCTTGGTTGTTTTAAAGCCTGATAAAAACTACTTTAATGTTCTTACTTTAAGAAAAAAAACATTATTTTGGGTTTTCCACATCGTTCCAGGACTGTTTTTTAGGAGTTACGTGATGTAATTACATTGTTTGATGGATCTACTTAGCCAGAAATTGCCTAGTTTATTTTTTCATATCCTAAAAAAAGCCTTCCGACAACACCCAGAAATGGGTTTTTGCTTCGTCATGACTGTGACCGCATCCCAAACTCCACACGTAACCGGTCTCGTTGCTGTGTTTTATTCTGGTCCACTGAGGCTACTGGTGTTTTTTCTACCTTCTACTGCAGCTGATTGCTCCTGTATTATGAATTACTGTTAGACGACAGTGGAAAAATGTCAATGTGACATCACACTGTCTCTGTTATTCACCAAAAAACACACTAACCTGCCAACAAACTGGCCCCAAGTATGTAAAACATAGCTGGTGACATTTTAAAATAACCATGTCTGCACATACACACAGACAGCCCTTCCCAGTAAATACCCACCTCCCCCTGCGGCCGGCCCGTTCCAAGATGTGTCCGTCATGTCTCCGAGGTAGCTTTTGTAGCTGATGTTCATGCATTTGATAGAGAAGGTGTCCATCATGAGGCGGGCCACGGCAGCGTAGCGGGCGTAGGGATCCCCGAATGAGGCGTCACCCATCACGCTGCACAGCACCTTGATGGTGATGTTGGTGCCCGTCACGCCCTAAAGAAGAAGAAGAAGAAGGGAAAAAAAGCAAATGAGTTAAGATGATGTCTCATCAGGAGCGTAAATTTGATCTCATGATGAATGGTCCTTTTCTGCTGCTTGGGCTTTTATTGTGAAAGGAGACGTGAACTTGTGAAATATATGTGAAAGAGTGCAACAAAGGGACCCGGCTTGTGTTGTGGGTTTCATGTCGAGGGAGTTTTTATGGGGACAAATCCAAAGTGGCTTTTTAAGAGACCAGTTCCTGTTCCATCTCATGAAACTGAAGCTGGGAACCCGTCATCCTCAAAAGTCCAGCGTGAGGGCCAGTGTAGAAATGGGGGAGAGAGGGAGACAGAGAGAGAGAGGGAGCGAGAGAGAGGGAGAGAGATAGAGAGTGAGAGGGAGAGATAGATAGATCCCGGGCCACCAAGATGCCGACACAATTAAAGTTAATTTCTGAACATTGTGGAGACTTTATTTTTTATTCTGATTTTCAACCTGTATTTATTTAATTTACTTATTTATACAAAAAAGTATTTGTGTACCCTGTCAAAGAAACTGTGCATAAAAACAATAAATGAACTGGTGACATATTGCACAGAATGCATGAGATGAATATAAAAATCAACAATTGTTGCAGACAGCTCTTGGACTTGTGAATAATTGAATGATCCCTTGCCTGTACAACAACCCACAATGCAATGCCAGGTATAAATGTGCCTCAAACTAAATGCTGGACTGAGGGATGGAGGAGTGAAACAGTTGGCAGTGGTTAGTTGTTCCCACGTGCAGAAGGAGAGCCTCGTTAACTCTAAATGCATCCCTGCATCTCTCCGCACCTCCTGTGTGTAAAAAGAGGAACTTGTTCCACGACGTTACATAACGCCCTTTCCGTATTCTATAAAGCCCCCCATTGATAACTCCTCAACTGTGAAGCCACCGCGCGGCCTCTTCTGATTGAGTTACACCCTCGGTTCCTCAGTCCTTTCCCAAATTCCTCAGTGGTACCTAAAACCTGCTGGTTTGCTCCATACGCGGCCCTTTGTGTCAGCGAGGCAGAGCCGTTGGCTGCGTCGGGTCCGGGCTATGCGCTGTGGACTCCTCTCAGTTCTTTTATAAGCGTCTCTTTAGCTCGGAGGCGACAGGAAACCAGAGAGACCACAGAGGCTTTTGTTACTTTTTCAGCTTATTGGTAACCGGACTCACGTCTCCTCGAGGCACCAGGAGGGACAGAGAGGGGATGGGATGAGAAGAAAAAAAAAGGAGGGGAGCTGGTAAAAACAGAAAGAAAAGAGCACCACGGGAGGAAAAAGAAATGGGAATAGATGTACAGAAAGAGATAATAACAATAAACATGTTGATGGGATGTGTTGTGGGCACTACATCGCACCACAACGGAGACCTCTTCTGGAATAGGGCTGGGCAATATCATTCAATATAATTGTAGTACGGAGGAATATGAATTATGATTCACAGTTTGGAATCTGCAGGATTAGTTTTATCGGTCGGTTTAATTCCACTCCAGAGGACAGAATCTGTTCGTTGTGTGAGCTCGGGGACATTGAGAATGATATCTATATACTGTATCTGTCTGTTTTCTCCTGAAAGATAAAAAAGTCTTGGTTTTGCTGCATAGAAGAAAAAAACCAACCATGCATCAGTTATATGACTGGCTCCCTACTCACTACTTCCCAAACACATGCATCTTCGCTAAAACCTTACTATTAAACTGTAAAACACTTCTGCACATGTTTGTACATGAAAATGCACGTGATTTTGGATAAATGAGACTTGGATTATACCGCACAAAGTTGCGTGCGAGTATGTAAATTGATGTCTATCTCCGCCAGGAGGATCATGCGATGGGTCGTGGGACTGAGTGTGCTCCTCTGTGTCTGTCCACGGCTAATCTCGCATTGTGCTGCAGCAAACTGCTAAATATTTTGTGTGGCCAGTTATGGCTGCATGCAGCCCTGGAGACCTGGCAGTATCCCAGGGCCCCCGGCTGCTAAACAATGCAGCGTTTCTTATGTTTCAGTATACTGCTTGGGCTGTCTGTAGCCCTCCTACACCTCATAGCTGCCTTCCACTCAACCACGACTGGATAAAAGGTCGACCCCTGACCTAAAAAGGCTCTGCACAAAGTCTACGCTCTCAGTCCCACATGCATGAATCTTGTTAGATCTGATATATTGTTTGTATAACAGGGGATTTAGTGAACTATACTGGAAAAGCTTCTCTGGTCAGTCTATAAAAATAATGTCCTGAAGCTCAGTTTCAGCTACTTTCATCCTGGAATTGCCCCCCCCCCCATCATATTTCTCTATTCATGTCAGTATATGAATATTAAATTGTGGAGAGATTGTAGAGATAGATTTCTCTCACAATTGATGACATTGTGGCTAGAATTAATCAGCATGATTAGGGAGAAAGGGGCTTTATTGGAAATGACCCTTTAAAAGAAGAGCCTGAAAGACTGGAAGCAAGACGTTCCGTTAGTTTCATATGTCATAGTTTCAATGTCTGAGGTTGGTGTGAGCAACGAGCACTTAGTTTGGCATGAAAACAACCAAATCTGCAGACAGTATCTGCCCCCAAAATCCATGTTATTGTGTCTACTCTCACCTCAAACCCCCTGTTGTCTTCATTGTACTGGACCACATCCATGAAGTTGCCAGCCAGCGTTTCCAGGAAGTAGGCAGACTCCATCTCTGTCTGGATCTGCAGTTTGGAACACAAGCTGGAGGGGGAGGAGGAGGAGGAAGACGGAGGAGAGGATGCAAAGGGCGTAAGGAGGGAGATGAAGAAGAGGTGAAGGAGGGGGGGGGGGGGGGGGGGGGGGGGGGGGGGGGGGGGCAGAGAGGGAAATGGGAGGGAAGTTAGACCAAAGCATTGGCAGTTGTACAGTGCATCGAGTTATTCTTTCTCTTTTCCTGTGTCGTCAGGAAATAAAACCTCAGGCTGTTTCAATAAACCAGCCAGTGTTTGGAGCTTCTTATGTACGAAAAACCAGCTCCACACAGCAGACGCACTTCTTCCGAGGATGTGTTGAACCACGGATGTGGGTAGATTGTGTTTACCTCTATCCACAAAGTTACAACTTGTCTCTCCAAATACAGGAAGACAAACTTTGTTAGTGGCTCTGGGGAGAGCAGTGTTCGTTGGTCAGTCCACCACTTTGGTCCAAACTGAAACATCTCAGCAAACGTTGGATGGAACGCCAAAACATTTTGTACAGGCAATCATGGTCCCCAGAGGATGAATCCCACTGACTTTGGGACTGTAGGTTGAAATGAGGGCTTTTGTGTGAAAGACTGAAGCGGTAAAAAGACAGAGTCTTTGACCATCTGTCTGACCTTGTTTGGGCAGCGTATCGAGTCATGCTAATGTTAGAAACCATTCATGTGAGCGTGATTCTTCCTTCACGATGAAATCGTGACGCAAGTGGTGCATCCTCTGAGGCATTGTGGTTTAGAAGCTGGACAAGCCTCTGTGTCTGCACGAGGACACGTCTGCATGATCTGCAAAAAAGATGTCCCATGTGGTCAGACACAAAGTCGAGGCTTTGGTGTGTCTCCAAGACAGTAACTAGCACTGTGAGAATAACTGCAGCGGTATAACAGACCATGTTGACTTACAGTCACTATGTCAACCTTAAATATGCAGAACACCACCAGAGAAAGACACAATGACTGTAGACGGAGCACAAGGCCGGCTGAGACAAACGTCATGCTTGACTGAAAATCTTGGAAGAAAATCAAGAATAATAATGTAACACGGAGCTGTAAAAAATAAATTATACACTGACAGAGAAAGTGGAGTTCTCTTGCTCATGAAGCCGTGTCGCCAGTGCCTACATGTACCAGGATGCATTGCATGCGTTCTTCACATACACCTGCATCACTGTCAGCTAGATGCAGCTGGTGGCGAAAAAGGTGGCGAATGTTCCCTTTAAGACGGTAAATCCTCCCAAAATAAAGGCGATACTCGTGCACACAATCTCACATAATTATTCCTTTACATCTATGAAAGTTTTTCGCTTTAAGCAACCTTACTTCATTCGTCAACATGGTCTTTGTCTGCACTTTCTACAGCCCGTTTTCCTCAGCAGATATTTGGATTTCATGGTCTAATCATTAACATCCACCATGCCTGCCTTACACTTTATATTTCCCACTCCCAGACCCTGGTGGAGTGCATGCTGGCTCACTGTTGGGGCTCGCTTAGACACTTCAAATGAAACGGACACGGGTTTATTAGATACAGATATTTTCTAAATGAAAAAAAACAAACAAAAACAATCTGCTGAGGAAATGGTCCATTGCCAAATGATCTTATAATTTATGGAGATCATGATTTATTATTCGTCTCCCAGATCTTTTAAGATGACGTACTTCATCCAAGGCCTTGGTCAGCTCAAACTCTGCTATTTGTTATAGGCTACAAAGAGTTTAGACAGCGTACTTGAAGTCTTTGGTGATGTTGTCGTAGGTCTTGGGGTCCTTCAGGCGCTCCACGAGGGCACTCGAAGCCTTTTTCACCATGACGGGGCACTCTGCGTTCTCCGAGGCCAGCGAGCGCCACACAACCTCCAAGTACTCTGGCACATAGAACATAAAGACAGAGGGGAGGGCGGACACTTAAAAACAATCACACACAGGAACGCTGGTCAAACACACACAGGGCTATTTTTGAGGCGCTGCAACAAGCACCACTTAATCTTCAGAGGGAACCCGGTTCTAGTCAAGTGCTTGTGAAAGTGTTTATTTTAAAGAGGTCTCGGTGAGGTCGAGAAGTGAATTTCACAGTTCATGAAACAGAGGAGAAGCTCCGCATTACTAAATCTTAGAATGTTTCCACCTGGAGTGAAAACACAGCCTCTCGCTGGTAATAATGCTGACTGGGTGCAGTGTTGTTTCTGGGAAATAATAAACAGATACCTGACGTCAGAGCAAACCCACATGTTTTGTGTCTCGGCTGGTTTATAGAAGTCAGAGCGACTGTGTGCAATGGTGTCTTCAAGCTAGCGCTGTTGTGCCTGTGTGTGTGTGTGTGTATATGTGTGAGTGTGTGTGTGTGAGAGACGGTGCAGGTCCATATTCAAAGCCACTCTGACCTCCATTCCCACCCCCGCAGCCTTTCCTGCGGGAAAACAACGAGCTCGGGCCAAACACAACACAGATAGAGAGCGAAACCTTTCCTCATCTCTTTCATCTGTCGGGGACTCGAAACTTCCCGAGACACGGAGCGAGACGTGGGGAATTAAAAGTCCATTTTTTTAACGCAACGCTCGATGCGTTCTGCAGAGATGTTGATACAGGAGCTCAAATGTCTCTTCCTTTAAATAACGGTTGTTTGCTGCATTATGTATTGCGTCTAAAGCCGCCTTAGATACACTTGAAACTTTAACAACAGACTTACTTTAACATACTCTCAATTTGTTTGTTCATCACATTCTATTGTAAATAATATACTATTGCACTGTGTTTATTGTCATGCACCAATCACTATGTGCAAACTTCGTTTCTGATTCAGAAGTGTGCAGTTCATTTCCTGACAGCAAACTTACATTCACTGTTTTTTAAATAGAGTTTGGTCTACCATCCAAAAAACGAGTGGCACATGTGTCTTTACAAGATGAGAATCCAAACCAATGATGTGTGTGTGTGTGTGTGTGTGTGTGTGTGTGTCTTAATACCTGGGAAGTTGACCGTGGCGTGAACAGGTGCACTGGTGGCCACGGAGGCGTGGACCAGGTGAGGGTACTTGAGCCTGAACCAGGCGGCAAGAGAACCCGGGTACGACCCGCCGAACGCCACCCACTTCCTGCCGGCCAGCCCCCGGGCCTCCACCGTCACGGCGCGGAAGTGAGCCAGGTCGGCCAGCGCCTGCCGACTGCTCAGGAAACGCAGGCTGTCCGTGCTGAGGTCACTGAAACAGAGAGATGAGAGGGAGGCGTGAGCAAAATACTGTAGTTTTCAGTGAGCGTCCCAACATTCAGCCTGGACAGATACTGAATAATAATAACTTTATTTATAGAGCTGCTTCAAACACAGAGTTTACAAAGCAGCAAAAACAAAGCAATAAAAACAACAAAATAAAATAAAATAAAATGAAATAAAATAATTTTGTTCAATAATTTAGTAAAATCAACAAATAAAAATAAAGCAGTAAAGTGACGACTTCACATAAAAACCAGTCTGTAAAAATGTGTTTTAAGAAGTGATTTGAAAGAGATTACTCATTCTGAGCGTTTTATCTCTGCAGGCAGCTCGTTCCAAAGACGAGGGGTCCTGATGGCTAAAGCTCGATCACCTTTTAGTTTTCAGCCTCGACTTTGGAACAGCCAGAAGAACCCCACCTGAGGATCTGAGGCTGCCAGCTGGCTCATAAGGGGGTCAACATTTCCTCTCTGTATGTCGGACCCAGACGTGCTTTAAAGTGATCAATAAAATCTTAAAATCTATTCTAAAACCAGCAGGGAGCCACGGAGACGTTCTTTAGAATGCAGGGCTGCCATCTGGTGGCACAGCAGCTACACCGGCATCAACACACTCATGAAGCTGGTTTCACAATGGATTATTCTCCTTTTTTGACCCTGCAGTATTGTGGAACCAGAGTTGGTGAAAGCTCTAAAAAAACTGCTGTGAACACAGGTTGAGTGATGGTAACAGCCTTTGGAACGGGTTTAACTGTAAAGAGACAACGAATCAAACTCAGACACCAAACTGCACTTTCCTTTCATTATAACAGATTGAGTTCATCTGCTATTTGTAAAGGATTCTTCATGTATTGTACTTTTTTTAAAAAGTGGAGAGGAGTGAAGCGTTCAATGCAGCTCGGGAAATAAAACTGAAGCAACACAATTGGTGCAATGTGTTGCTGAAGTTTGCAGCTATATCTTGTTTTTCTTTGGCGCAGACTAAAGTAGATCCACTTGGTTGCATCTTTTATTTTTTTTGTATTTGGCTTATTTTACTGCCCTTGCATGACCCCAAAATAGACATAAACGGTGATAATTAAAAACTATTGTCCTCTAGAATCAAAGGTTTTGTGTTTATTGGACAATATGTTAGCGTACTACCAGCCTGACAGGTCAAAGAGTCAAACTGATTTTAATCATGTCTCTAAAGCTAAAAACTATGAATTTGTTTGTAGTGTCAAAACTGATGTAGAATACATAAAGGAAAAGGTTTTGTGGCACCTTGTTGCTGTTATTTAATAGCCTGCCCAAAGAGTTTAAATAAACGAATCTAAAACTAGACTTCGGAGTGAATAGAACGTCATACAAGGTGGAGAATTGTAAATGTCTGTAAATCAGCAAAGGTTGAAACGCACGGGGTCGGGTGACTCTCTCCGTAGAAGCGATGCTCCAGCATCAAGCAGAGAGCTCCGAGTTTCTGGGCGTAGGTGAGCCAGGTCCCGTTCTGCATCCAGGCCGGATTGGCCGGACCCTCCCCCCCGATCATCAGAAACACCGGACCCCCCGGTTTGTAGAAGGCTTCATTCACAAAGTACCTCTGGAGGGGGGCGAGAGAGAGAGAGCAAGAGAGAGAGACAGAGAGAGAGAGAGAGAGAGAGAGAGAGAGAGAGAGAGCGAGAGAGAGAGAGAGAGAGAGAGAGAGAGGAGGTGAAGGAGAGACAGAGAGAGAGAGAGAGGAGGTGAAGGAGAGACAGAGAGAGAGAGAGACAGAGAGAGAGACAGAGAGAGAAATGTTTACAGTGTAAAAAAAACTACAGACACAATTGCAGTGGTCAAACAATTAATTAAATTAGAAAATAACATGTTATTTTAAATTAAAATAGTCCGCCTTCTCTCCTGAAGCACAACTCGAGTGTTTCATAGTCATCCAGCCAAATTAAATCAACATGAATTGAGGTAATTTTACCTAAAAAGTGCACCTTGTTGCACTGTAGTTATTCTTTATGAGACAATAAGTTCGTGACTTATTTTTGCACCATATGTACACAGACCAGACTTACCTGCTTCCACACTCTGCTGTCTGCACCATTGAAGTGATCCAGTCTCTGAGTGAACCACTGCTCGTCTAACACAGTCCTCTGGCTGGAGTAATGATGAAACCTCCTGAAGCCCCTGAACTGTCCCTCCCCGTTAACAAACACAGACAACAATACAAGTAAAGCTACGTAACGGAGAAGCGACCCTGACCCATGAAAAGCCATGTTGTTTGTTGTTAAACAACAGAAACGAGGAAGCAGTCAGGGGGCATGTGATTCCGTTCCGTGTGATCATGTGATCAGATATTTTGCTACTTTAACTGACTCGCAAAACGTGGGAGAAATGCAACTAAGCTCATTTCCACGTACCAAAGGTGATACTTACAGGATATTTTCTCCATTTATGTTTTTCTAAATTTAAAAACGAATTATACTGTAAGTATGTATTTAATTTTTTTATAATGAATCGATCGACACTATTTTTGTTGAATGATTTGTTATGTGACATTACCGTATGGCCTAAAATATATCACCCAAAACGTGGATGCGTAATCAGCAACTCCAAAAACCGAGTTTTTTTAAACTATTTTTAACGTTAAACTGAACAATTTAAAAGAATATATTTAACCGCGAAGGTGTCACTCAAAGTTCCCGTGTTTTGCGCAGGACATGAACTACCCACGTACAAACAGTTCCACACCACCACCAGCAGAGGGCGGTAAATTGAAAAAGACAACAACGTTTTCCACCCTGAAGAAGAAGAAGAAGAAGCACAGCAGTCATCCTCAGTTCCGTTTGCTAGCCGATAGTTCATAGAGCCGCAACTATGGAGGAGGCAAAAAACAAAGAGAATAAGCAGCCCGAGAAGACCGATGAGAAGGAGAAGGAAAAGGAAAAAGGAAAGTCCTCAGGGAAGGATAAGGAGAAGAAAGAGGAGCAAGAATTGGTAATTTGGGGGTTATTTTGGGGGCTAACTAGCTAACGTTACCGGAGCCAGAGGTGTTATTTTTTGCCTTAGTCACTGCCGCTTTGACAACATGGTTGGAGAAGGCCGAAGTCATTGTCACTTCAGAATACATCACTGACAAACTGTTATTAATTTAAAAAAAATAATGTGTCATGTAAACCAATCTGTCTTTGATTTGTTAAAAATTCCCGTGGTCCTTAAAAAAGTCGTACGGATCAAACTCGTCTAAGTTAGCTAACGTTAGCCTAGCCTAGCCTATAAGCTAACGTTACCTTGCTGGTTGTCATCGCTGTTAGCTTTGCTCCCTGAGTTGCTATAGTCATGATAAACATTGGGCATCGTGCTGTATGACACAGCAGCTAAGATGAGCTCTTCCACACGAATATACATTATAATAACACTTATTCTAACTGTTACAACGGTCTGAAGTGTCAGATTAGCTTGTAAAGTTTGTTGTCTTATCAATTACCAAGTGTCAGGTTATTTTGTTCCGGTTATTAGATGGTACATGTGGAATTTAGTGCAAACACATGTAACATTTAAACATTTGTAATTGGTTAGCATGTCACCATCATGATGCATAAAAACAAATACACATTCGTGGGCTCAAAGGTAGCAGAGTAAACTGGTATCAAGTGTTATAAGGGAATAAGATTTAATTTATAAGCTATTTACAGCAGCTCTAAATGCACCAGCTGGACATTCTCACTTAAATTATTGTCATTTAAGTGGTTAAACTTAACTTGTCATCCTACCTGTGGATGCCAAATGGCAAACAATGCTTGGCACAATGCATCTATTAATTCACCAAGTTAAGTTTACATCATTATTTGTCTCTTTGGGTACTTGTTAGGTGTTGATTCATATTTTCAAGAAGTCAGTTAGCGGTAAACATGATCATTGTCATCAAAACTATGGTCACCTCTCTACATTTTCAAGATCAAAGGCTGCCTAAACGGTACATTATTCTTTATATTCCATTTTTTAACTTTCATTAATAACAGCTGATTTTGTTTTCTTCACTACCTCTCAGTCAGAAGAAGACAAGCAGTTACAAGAGGACCTGGAGATGATGGTGGAGAGACTGGGTGTAAGTATTACTTTATTATTATACAACATATCTTGTGTGTCGTGGTGTAAATGCCCTTACAAGGCAGAAAATAAACCCTCACTTTTCTACACATTTGCAGGAGAAGAACACAGAGCTGCACCGCCCGGCGTTGGAAGAACTGCGTAGACTAATCCGCTCCTCGACCACCTCCATGACCTCAGTGCCCAAGCCCCTCAAATTCCTGCGCCCACACTATGGCAAGCTGAAAGAGATCTACGAGGGCATGGCTCCTGGAGAGAACAAGGTGAGGCTCCACTGTGCTGACGCCAGGAAATGATGAAATACATGCATGTGCACTCTTTTGTTTTTGCCATTTCCGTTCTAATGTTATTTGCATTTGGCAGCGTTTCTGTGGGGACGTGGTGTCGGTGCTGGCCATGACCATGAGCGGAGAGAGGGAGTGTCTGAAGTACCGTCTGCTCGGCTCCCAGGAAGAGCTCGCCTCCTGGGGACATGAATACGTCCGGTAAGAAGACACGACGTCGAGCAACAACACACGTGAAGCGCTCTCGTGTTTATTGGAGGAGCTGCATTGTAAAGAGAGGAAACGCAGAGATCCCTTAGTTGTTGATGTTTGTGTGATTTGGTTCACTGTCAGATCAGTAGAAGAATGGGTGCTGTTGATTCGCTATCAAATTCTTTGGTCCTCTATCTTCAATGATGACCATGTTCCAATTTTACCAACCACAAAGATAGTTGATCGCTTTCAGTTTGGAATATAGAAAGAAAAAAATATTTGAAACAGAACTTTTGAACACCTCTCTCTCTCTCTGTCTCTGTGTCTCTGTGTCTCTGTCTTTGTGTGTGTTGTGTTCCAGGCACCTGGCCGGCGAGGTGGCCAAGGAGTGGCAGGAGGTGGAGGAGAGCGACAAGACGCAGCAGGAGACGCTGCTGAAGCTGGTGAAGGAGATCGTGCCCTACAACATGGCCCACAATGCCGAGCACGAGGCATGCGACCTGCTGATGGAGATCGAGAGGCTGGAGATGCTGGAGGACTACATAGACGAAAACGCCTACAGCAAAGTCTGCCTCTACCTCACTAGGTATGTTCAGGTTTATTTAGTTGTTTTTTTTACCATGTTGTATATATTTCAAAGAATAGGACTTTTTTGAAATATACCTAACTTCCTGCATTGCTCCTCCAGCTGTGTGAGTTACGTTCCCGAGCCCGAAAACTCAGCGCTGCTGAGAAGTTCCCTGAACATCTTCAGGAAGTTCAACCGTTACCCAGAAGCCCTGCGCTTGGCCCTGATGCTCAACGACGTGGAGCTGGTGGAGAACATCTTCACATCCTGCAAAGACATGTAAGCAGGATTAAAAAAACAATTTTTCATACATGCTCTGGCCTTTCCTTGCTGTGTCATTGTGAGTGCTGTATGAGAAACATTCTCCCCTCTTCGCCTCTCAGAGTAATCCAGAAGCAGATGGCCTACATGCTGGGACGCCATGGCATGTTCCTGGAGCTCAATGAGGACGTAGAGGACTACGAGGACCTGACGGAGATCATGTCCAACGTGCAGCTCAACAGCAACTTCTTGGCCCTGGCCAGAGAGGTGAGGAGGAGGAGGAGGAGGAAACAACAATGACGTATTGAGTTAGAGAGAAAAATGGAGACATCGGAGACTCAACTTGTTGTTAAGTTGTCCATGTTTTCAAAACACATTTAACAAGCAGGATACATTTCAGCTAGAAAATAAGCTGGAAAAATTCAATGTTCATTTTAAAGATCTTTCCTTTTACAGCATCCTAACTACGGCCGGGCCATATGGCCAAAATCTTCTATCATGATTTGGGTTATTTTATATCTCGAACTATATTTATCACAATATCGTATTTTTTTTTCTGGTAATTCAATACATCTCATTGAATGAGTCACATTAACCCGATTTCTCTGGAGGCAGTTTTATCAGACTTTAAAGAGACAAATTACACAAACAAACCAGTTTCTACATAGAAAAGCAGACATGGGTGTTGTGATGACACTATATGTGATGAGATGTCCAATAGGGGAGCTTTGTCTCCTGATGCTGATCTCTGTAGCTCCACTCAGGGTATTAAATAACTGAAACTGATATTTTACAATGACAAGAAAACCAAACATATTCAGTGAGGATTGATTGTGTTTCGAGAGATCAGTATCTCCACCAGTTCAGATGATGAATAATAGTTCGTAGAAGGACATGACTCGGCACATTTGACTGTTATTAACAACACACTCGTCTCCCTCCCCAGTTGGACATCATGGAACCAAAAGTCCCAGATGACATCTACAAAACACACCTGGAGAACAACAGTGAGTCTCGTGTCTGCAGGTTGTGTGTGTGTTCCGTTAGAGACGTTTAAATTCGTCTAAATCCAGTCTACCTATCTCATGTTAGATAACGTTAGCTGTAGTGTGTACTGATTGCTCATTGGTTGGTTTTTGGGTGACCAGGGTTCGGAGGCAGCGGCTCCCAGGTGGACTCGGCTCGCATGAACTTGGCGTCTTCCTTCGTGAACGGCTTCGTCAACGCGGCCTTCGGACAGGACAAGCTGCTCACAGACGACGGCAACAAGTGGCTGTACAAGAACAAGGACCACGGTAAGAGAAGACACGGTCAAATGACTTTGATTTGATTGTTGGGTGACTAAAGGCGATTTAATCGTCCTCAGGTATGTTGAGCGCCGCGGCCTCGCTGGGTATGATCCTGCTGTGGGACGTGGACGGCGGTCTCACCCAGATCGACAAATATCTGTATTCCTCTGAGGACTACATCAAGGTAAACATCGTAAATGTCTCTGTCATAGAGTTCACGTTACTTTCAGACAATGATGTCAGAATCAGAACTGTTTACTGCCAAGTACGTTACACAAACAAGGATTCTGGACAAGGACAAGGCTATGAAAAGACTTCATGACCACAGAGGTCAGGGCGACGGGCCTGTAGTCGTTAAGTCCTGTGAGCCTTGTTTTTTTTTGGCGACGGGGATGATGGTGCAGGCTTTGAAGCAGGCTGGTACCTGACATGTCTCCAGGGAGGTGTTGAAGATGTCTGTGAACACCAGAGACAGCTGATCGGCACAGTGCTTCAGGGTGGAGGGGGAGACCGAGTCCGGACCGGCTGCTTTGCGGGGGGTCGGACTTGTTGACGTCTCTCTCCAGAATAGACAGTCTTCATTGTGGAGCATAGGCCCCATAGAGCTGAGGTTGCAAAAGGAAAAATGTTCCTT